TGCTTCATTTTGTAGTTTCTATCGTTTATTATATCAACCAAATATAATTTTTCATTTTCTACTGTTTGAAAGGACTTTTGTTGGAAATGAATACTCCCAAGGGACATAATTCAGCTTTTTCATAGATTAATACGGGCAACACATGCAACTTTACAGCTGAGTATTTTGCATATTTAATGTTTAAAGTGTCTACTATCTTTGTTTTTACCATCTCAAGACAGAATAATGGATTTTATAACAAGTTTTGAAATTTTAAACCACAATATGGCATATACTAAAGCATGGAATGGAGATTAGTATGAAAAATCTTGAATTTGTGCTTATGTTGTAAATTTTGGATAAATTGAATACAAATTGAATGGAACTGTCAGTTTTATCTGTTTAAATGGTACTGTTTATTATTCTTTTTAAATAAGATAAGATATGATTGGATACAGGTAGTTTATTAAGCCTTATCTAAAAGAAGTACAGAAAGAGGTAAACCAGCATGTATTGTCGCCTATGGCAGAATAAATAGTACCGTTTTCCCTCTATGGTAGCTACCATATTTTCAACAAAACCACATTGGGCAATGTTTTATTCCGGAAAGATCCACTGATATCAAAATTACGCAATAATTCAAGAAATTAACACATGAATTATAAATAAGGAGAAGAAAATACTGCGAGCAGACGTCTTCCGTTAGACAAGTACGTTGCGGATTTCAAACATGATTTTTGTGCATTTAATTGTATCCTTAGCCTGAGACAGTGTGCTATGAAATTTGGAAACTCTATTAGACGATATATAAACATTATTTGTATTATAAAAAAGAGGGACATTCAAACTCACAAGTCGAAAAATTTAAGCTGTCCATATTGTTTGAAATTCTTGGATTTTGATTTTGTGAAATCATTTCTTATAGCCCGGGTTGCAAAGGATTGTACGTCTTGTTCTATCGAATTATTTAAATTTTACCTACCTTAAACTAGAAATGCACGAACACTTTTGTTTCCTTGTAAGTAATGCATTGTGTGTCCGATTTATATATCGATATTGTGTCTGTCGAAAGCTGCGTTGGCATTATAATATGATAAATGTAGTATTATTATACAGAGATTTGGCATTTGAATAGTTAAAATAATAACCATCAAGTGAGTTTGTTCATGACAATCTGTTTCCTGGAAAATGCCAGAAATCTGTGATATTTAAATTTTTCATTTCTGTCAAATGCTATGAAAACTTTAAAAAAAAAACTAAATGATTGACCTTTATAGAAAACTTACCATGTGTGTAATGTTTTCCATTTCAGTACAAAAATTATATAGCAAACCAATATGCCGATGAGAAGGGGTTGCTATAAAAATTTTAGTAGACTGATACGCTTTCATTTATAACTATGTAAATATTTTAAAACTGCCCAATACAAAATTTGTTGAAGATTTGTCTACTGTTCTGTTTATGTCTTTTCAGTAAGAAGCTCTGACATATTGTATGTATTTGTTTGTTTACATGATCAAGTTTAAATGATTAATTTTATTTCAGAAACACATGTTGTGTAAGTCATTGCTTTTTATATTTGTAATATTAAAAATATCAATAATCTCTTAAAAATATGTTTTTGAGATACCTTATTAAAAAGTTAGTTAAACAGCAATTAATGAGCAATACATGTGCAACATGCATATGTGATACATCAAATTATTCATTTATAAGTATTATTTATTATAACTGTTATCCCTCGCCAGGTACCTACGGTATTTGCACTTCCAGGATGAAAATACTTCATAATTGACAGCAGAGATATTTCAGTTGATAAATTTTGATAATTTTGTAACTTCTAAGATTGGTGAACGATACAAAAGGAATACAAAAGGAATAGTCCAACTTTAAAGTCGATGACATAATGACAACACAATGGAAAATCACGAAAAACGACAAATATGCAATCAAGTCAAACAACAGTGCGCAAAACAGAAGATAGAAACTAAAAACTGAGCAAAGTGAACCCCTAACAAAAACCGGGTTGATATCAGGTGCTTGGGTAAACAGGTACTGCTCGAAATGTGGCAACTGTCGTGTTGCTCATGTAAGTACACTTAACTAACTATAGAAACAAGACTTAAAATTTTGTGCGCCAGACGTGCGTTTTGTCTTCATAAAACGCACCAGTGACGCTCGAAAAAAAGTTTAAAAGACCAAATAAAGTACAAAATTTAAGAGCAATCTCCGTGCCGACCGTGTGAGACCTTCGTGTGGGTTGTCAATGTCGTTAAACACCGCCTAGTAGTAGGTGATAAGTCTAATTCGATAATGTCTTATTCGTGAAAAATAGTACGGGTCTGTGGTGACGACAATTGGAACATGTCCGTCGACGTCTGTGAAAGATCAACCAACCAGTGATTACGTTCTTTATGGCGTGTTTAGTATCAAGAAATAGATATAAATATTGGCATAGGTGCATCAAATTAGACTCGTTTCAGTATCTTGTATAACTACATTAATACCACTGAAATAATGGTTGAGGTCAATACTATAATAATTTAATTAATCGCGCTTGAAAGTGTTTATCTCGGATTAAAAATATTTTACTTCAAATCAATGACGGACCATTTGTTTTCAAAACGGGCATTCATGTAGACTTATTCAGGTTAAACTATGGGTCGTATAATGTATATTTGGTGATTTTCATGCCGTTGTTTTGAATACAAGTAGACTAAAAAAACTTCCATTCTGTGTAGCAACGTTCCATCAGCCCTTATATGTGGAATTTATATTTGCATGTTGATACATTTTTATTAATGGAGTGTCGCTGCTTACAATGAAGCTAATAAAACAAAGGTATCTATTGGTGAAGTTGAGGTCACCCCTTCGAACTTTTAAAGGACGCCATCGTGAGTTGTCTGACCATTATGGAATACATCTGGCACAGATGACCACGGATGTTACAATTGTTATAATCACAGTCGCGTCCCCCTTTCATAGATTTTGACGTCATCGAATGCGACTTATCACCGTAAATTTACTTGGCACGAGCGAAACAATATGTCTTAAGTGGAGTAGTACCCGCTTACCGAAATACCTGAGGTATCCCCGTTTTTTTTTGGGTTTTGTGTTACTCAGTTTATTGTTTTCTGTGTATTTTGTAGATTTTTCACCATTTCGTTGATTTTTATGTCTTGGTGTTTATTTTAATCATTCTTTCTTTTATTTTGTTGTCCCATGTGTATCATATCAACCTCTTTTTTAAAGAATCTCTGTCTGTTTTAGGTACTTAACACGCTAAATATCAAGCTATATGTAATATTTGACCCTTTGGAAACATCTATCTTTTAACTATCAACTACAACAACCTTTTTTGTTGGCGTCTTTGTTGGATTTATTTGTATGTTTGTCTGAATTTTTTAGTCAGTTGTGTTAAATATATATCTCTGCGATGTACGTTTACAGAGTTTTGGCTGCGGGGTCCCAATCCTATTATGTCTGCTTGGGTTTCTCACCCATTTTTTTTCAATATAACGGAACTATTTTAGGTTTCGGTTTAGAACCAGGTTAAGCTAGTGTTTTCGTCGGAAAATTCCTGTACCAAGTCAGGAATATGACAGTTGGTTTTCACTGGCTCCATTGGTTGATAACGTTTGTTTTTGTCAGTTTTTATGAACTTTTTGAATTTACCTTTAATTTCCGTATTTTTGTTATTCTTTTTTACTTTTTCAAACTTTATTATTCAAAGTTGTTACATTCCAATATTTCGTGATTGTACTCTCCATGTTATCTTTTCGAATTGTTATATTTATTTGTATTTGGGTAAAAACCACCTTGTTTGCAGTAGATCATAACGAATGACTTTTAAATAATAATCATAAACACCGACTATATTTGTGTTTAGTAGATGTCCTTAAACACATGATATTTTTGTATTTTTTCTCTCAAAATTATCTGAAATTGCATATCATTGTCTTGTCATAGGAATTTGGTAAACTGGGAAAGTGCTCAACGATGACTTCATCTTGTTCATTGTGACTCTTGTAAGTCTTAGTAAATCCGCTTAAATCTATTAATCCTCGATTTTTATCTTTTCAAAAAGAAACAAATAGACTATAAAACGCTAAGGTATTCAAAAACCAAATCCTTAATGCAATTGCTTTTCTTCGGTGAAGAATCCTCATTAAAAATATTGCCGTATGATAGTTATTTAATTTACGATATCGCTTTCAGTGCGCATACCTAACACGCACCAAATATGATGCAAACACCTCCAACTGGTACAATTGTTATTCTTGTGCTCGTATCGCCAAACCTCTGTAAAGACTAGTACAACACACACACACACACACATTAGTACTCTAGGGTCAAACAATTGACATGGTACAAATAATAATAATGTTCAGATAATGGATATGTAATTACAGATAGCAAAAATAAGAACGGCACCAGAAGAGACGTCCTCTAATATTGTCTTATTTTCACGTGGAAAGTTCAGACAGAAGTCATTTACCATACAGCGAATCATTCTCGTAGTAACCAGTGCTTCGGAACTGTAGATGATAACACACTTACCTTTTACATAGATTACGTAGTTGTTTTACAAACAAAAAATGTCCAACTCTCTGAAATGAAGTTGACGTTAGAAAATGTCTTTTTTTTTAATGATACATTTTGGTTAATTGCCTTCAACTCTTTACGCATGATTAGCTTTCGAAACTTTCGGAAGTGAATGTTAAGTAACCTTATCCAAGCAAAACATTCAGTTAACAATATTTGTGAATTTGATTTACTACTTGGATTTGACATTTCAAAGCTCTTGCATTACGTGTGTAGCCGACGAAGGTTTTTTTTTTCTGGAAACACGTGACATGCGCACTAAAATTGGTTTTGTATGTTTTACATTTACATTTTATTCTGTCCACAAATGACATGCTTTAATCTTTTTAAATCAATGTGTATGTGTATTTAATCGTTTTTTTAGCTCAATATGCTGTACATGTTTAAAAAGAATACACAAAAATGATTAGACCACAAACAATTAAGAATACATTTAATATTTTAATGTAGAACAAAAATTGCTCGCTTCAAACATTTTGCTTGTGATACAGGTCGTACGATTATGTATGTAAATACACTAAGCTAGAACTTATATACATCTCAACTAGAATATCTAGGAAAAAAGCTATTTCATTCAGTGCCTTCTGAAAAAAAATTGTATGAGTCTGTACAATGGATATAATCAGAAAATTTTCAAATGGATCAATAAAAAAGTATATTTAATTTCAACATCCTTACTAAATTTAGACAAATGTCCAACTCAACCTGTCAGACATGTAAAATAAATTTGCAGCTTCTATAAGCGAAATACTGGATCTATATTTGGGTAGCATGCATCCCATTACCGTTAGTTGATACAAGGCTGTATTTTGTTTTCTCACTAGACAATGTGGAGTCCTTATCAGAAAACTTTCTGCAGCATTTATCAATCCCCAAAAATGAATTTACTTGTTGGCGATAGTACTTCCCGGTGATATAATAAATAAAGAAATAACATGCACTGTTTGATAAACATATTTCTTCCACAACTTTTCTTATTGCGATATACGTGAAAAAACTCAACCAAACTGGATCAGTCGCAATCAGTTCTAAGCTTTGCAAGTTTTTCATTTTCCCATTTGGCATTTCGTTTTGAATGGCATATACTACAGACGCTGGTAACAGAGTACAAATAAAGTAAAATGACACTGTAAGGAGTGTAACGGTAGACGTTTGACTTCCACCAGCTGAAACAGCGGGTCCATGTGAAGTTATCCTCTTTATTTCTCTAATAACTAAAATATTAAACATCAAGACACAAAGGGGGACAACTAAGAAAAACATTATTTCTGTAATGGCTGTCCATATTGTTTGAAACTCTTGGTTTTCCGTTTTTGCAAAACACTTCTTATAGTCTGGATAATAGTGCCACAAATCAGCTTGGACACAAGCAAAGCCAACCGATAAAGCGGTAAAGCATGCTATGACGATAATTGCTCTACGGACGGTACAAAATGTTTCCTTTTTAAACGGATGGCAAACAGCAATATAACGTTCAACAGTAAAGCCCAACACCAGTAATGGCGCCAAATACTGGGGAATAATAGATAAAACGTTCAAAGTTTCACATAATACCGGTTTGTCATTTGTAGGGATGTCCCACGTGTATGTTAACTCCACAAATAAAAAATGAATGATAAGTTGGAACATGTGTACAATAGCAAGTAATCCAAGATATATAGCTGATGAATTTTTACGACTCTTTCTTCCAAGCCATACTTTCGCAGATATCGGATTTCCGAAAAGACCTATAATGTACCATATTGGAGATACAATTCTGTCGATATATACACTGTAAGGCTCAAATCTTAGAAGGATATCTGTAGTAGAAGGCCGTGGTATTTCGGATACGGATACGTTTGACGAAAAGTCATGTGTCGTAAAGTTCTCAAACAGAGTCGTGTTTTCCATTATTCTGTGAAAAAAAAAATACATGACATGAATGTAAACATACCTACATAACTGTATTAACATTTAAAGTTTACGCTACGTTTAAGAAAACCTGGTGTCATACCAGTCGAAGCAAACATAATAAGATTTCTAAAGCTACTTCGGTTAGTCTGAAATAATATCATTATTGAATTTTTTATAACACAATATATTAGCTAAGATCATTTTTTAGGCCAAAAAATAAATATTTGATAAATTACCCTGATTATAAAGAATCAATTGGTATAACAATCAGGAAATAAGTGTTCATATTTACATCGGCTTTCTAATACTAATGTAAAATCTAGATTGAATTGCTATATGATCGGTACCATATTTTCAAACAAAACCACATTGGGCAATGTTTTATAACGTAAGGACCCACTGACAGCAAAGTTACGCAATAATTTAAATAAAAGTAACATGAACAAAAAAAACTAAAAAAAAATAGGAAAAAAAATACTGCATGCGGACGTCTTTCGTTAGACAAGTACACGTGAACGTTGCCGTGAAAAAACATGATATGTGTGTATTCAATTCTACCCTTAACCTTTGACAGTGTGCTATGAAATTTGGAAACTCTATTAGACGTCATAAAGGATAATGGTATGTTGTGTAACTTTATCCCTAAGATGTTACGGTATATATATAACCGAAGTACATCAATACCTTCTTAAATCGCGTATTTTTTTATTACATTGTTTCATTCTGTGTATGACACCATTAATTGTCTTACATCATTTTACCCTAAGAAAAGTTAAAGTTGTGAAAAAAATATTAGATTTATTATACAAATTAGAAATGTAGAGTATTAATCTCCACATATGTGTTGCAAAGTACAAATCGGATCTAATAGCATGTAAAAGGTTAATTATCAGCAATTATCCATGACTTACAACTACAACTGTATTTATACTCAGAGATAATCTTGTAATTTACATTAGGTTTTTGTTCAATGACACCCAACAAGTGTAAATACATATTCATTTATTTTGATGATTTCTAAAATTAGTCATGTCAACTGCATGATGATTCCCCGTTTCAGTTTTAAAATATTATTTAATAATAAATTCTTATATTCATGAATACTTACTTTTGCAAAGTTTCATATGTAATGGAATAAATCGAATGCAACAGAATTGCTTCAATACTTAAGTCAATGTTATTAAAAGAGAAAATGTTGACTTTTATACAACAACTAACTATTTTGTTTTGTTTGATAGTTATAATATTGCCAAAATTTACAGGCTTTGTTTTCAGTGAGTAACACATATGAATATCGGACTGTTATTTTCAGAGAGCCCGTGGTGTTCACACTGGCCAAGGGCGATTGGGTAGAAATATACATAGTGGTGACATTATTTATTAAGATTTCACGAATCCGGTATTAAGATCCTTGCTGGTCTGAGAGCGTCCATCTGTGTGTTGGTTTTTGAAACATAAATATCCATGTATCCAATGTAGATGTTAAATTTTGAGTGAAATGTCGAAAGGGTATCATGCTGTTTGATTTGCATATTAAAAAAACCTGCAGCAAATCTTGTTTCGTAGGTTGTCTGTTGCAAAGCCGTCTCTATTCAAATACCCTTTTGTTCCAGTCGACCCACTGAAATTCTACCTATTTGATTTACTAGTAATGTATAATTTGTTCATATCCCGAATTTGCACACACCATTTGTCACTGCGCGTTAAGCAAACAACAATCAATCAACGAAGAATATTCTCAGTTTATCTGACATTTCAGTCGAAATTATAAGTTTGTTTGTGAATACTTCTATAATTATTTTTCTTGCGACAGTAGCTCACTGCTAAAAACTAAGGTCAATTATTGGAAGGTTTTTGAATATCTTTATCAACATTTATTTTGAACAAAATTTACTCACAAAATTGGCTTTTGTCTACTTTTCTTACAGTCGGTTTTCCTATTTTCTTTCAAGTAAGTTCGATTTGGACAAACATTTAATAAGACAACCACCAAACAATACAAAAAGTCCAATGACCGGAACAAGTCATTCGTTATATTCCGAAAAATCATGTGCAGTAAGGAATCGAACTCTACAACGGGAACTATTTTATATTCTACATGACTTTGTACTAACATTATTGAGAATCATGCATTAAAACTTACTACCTGTTGACTCACTCTCTTCCATTTTATTGTTTTACATTGTTTACATTCTGGTAAAAAAAATCCTTCTATAGATACGTGTAAAATATTTGCATAATTATCATATCATCTCACTTTGTTCATGCAGTTGTTTAAGCATATCAAAAACTCTTTTTAGAAAATCATATAATTCATCAAAAACGTATCTAAGCAGTCGCTCAAACTAAAACGTAAACCAAATAAATACAATTAGACATACAGCTGTTGCTCAAACAAGAAGCATATGTTAAGTTTATACCAAGATATATGTTCTTGCTAAGTAATACAAAGATGTATTCAATATGCAATTTTCATAGGCCATTGAAACAGTTTAAAATCACATGTCGGGAGGGCTTCCTTTTAGTCCAATTCATGTTTGCTTTGTTTTCATATAGGGAGGAACAATTATTAAATTATGTAACAAATTTCTATAAAGGCAGATAACGTCACAGTTTTTTTAGAATACGTCTTTTTTCGATTCGTACATGTACCAGATCTAGCAAATATTCATATTTTATTCAACACCCTTTGGTATGCTTTAAAAGCACACGACGCCTGTAAAATTGTTTACAAAAGTTGCCAGTCAATCTTTGGACATAGTTGGCAGATATTCGTGCTTTCTTCCCACCAAGTTGGTTAACATTGACATACCAGTTTTGAATAAGAATTTAAGAATGTGATTTCCTTTTAGTTTTGAATGTAACTATTAGCGACAATCGTCACAATGCTTTGTACTTGACTGTCATTAAAGCTGACGATAGTTGGTAGAGAGTCTTTTAACTGTCAATGCAGTAATGTTTATAAAAAAATCGGTAGATTCAGATTAGAACGGTCCATCATAATTAACAAATGTATATGTGACAATGCTTTCCATCCAAGCGGGAACAAGTGATCAGGTTTGTATATTTAATACCAAATCTTTCAAAGTATGGTCATTTTTTGAGAAAATAAAAATATGATTTCCTATGGGATTACCAGGTTACTATAAATTACCACTTCTGCCATCTTAATACCAACCCAATCAACATTAAAGGTATACACCACTGATTTGGGCCCGGTCACAAAGAACATAGAAGTAGTACATATTTTAAATATACATGTAATAGTCCCTACTTTGTCAAAAAGAAAAACATTTGGGTAATTTTGATATCAAATGAAAGCTCAAGGTCTTGGGATCACTGTTTCTACACGGAAGTTGGGTAGTATAAAAACCCTTGATGAAATTTTCTCTTGAATATTTATATAAATATATGAAATTTTAAAAATAATGGGGGCATATTTGCCATATAGCTCAGATCAGTAGTACCTGTTTTTATACTACCCAACTTCAATGAACCAGTGCGCTCTTATATGCAATCGAAACATGTTGAATTTTTTAGCACAATTCAGGATAAGGTATAGTTTTGCTATGAAATGACTGCTACTAGTACTTGAAAAAAAAACTATAAATGCTTGAAATTGCATAATTCAACTCAACATAGAAAGCAATGGGACTATGAATTAGTGGTTTTATTCCTAAACAGGGGCCTTTGGGAAGCTTTTAAAATCATTAATCCTATAAAGTTTCTAAACTGTTGACTTTTGTGTTCCAGAGGACACGATTTTAAACATCTACCAATCAGAACCAAAGAACGCTTACATATAATCTAGATAAAAACTATTTGAAGACAACCTTCCATGAATTATTCATTTGAATTTTGAGTTGAATTGGCCGAGCAGAAAATAACTAAAACATAATTTCCAAAATTTCTTTAATAGAAAATACGTGCCACCATTGGCGCCATGTTTTGTACATGATTAAATTTAATGGGGATGATTTGTAGAGGGTCACAAAATCATAAAGCATGTATAGTTTCACTATATTTTTACTTGTATCTTCAAAGGAGAAAACGTCTGATAATTCGCTAGTCAGAGTCATCTAATGTCTCTGGTGGTCAGGTTTTTTTTATCAGATCGGAACTAAATGAGAACATATTAAACAGTATTTCTACAAATAAAGGCAACAGTAGTATACCGCTGTTCGAAATTCATAAATCGATTTAGAAAAAAAACAAATCCGGGTTACAAACTAAAACTGTGGGAAACACATCAAATATAAGAGGAGAACTACGACACAACAGAAACACAACATTAAAATGTAACACACACAGAAACGAACTATAATATAACAATGGCCATTTTCCTGACTTTGTACAGGACATGTTTTTACAAAGATTGGTTTAAATTGGTTCAGTGGTAGCAAAGAAAAAGATGATAATATAAATGAGAATATATTTATTTAAAGGAAACGATCTCCTGACATTCGTATTAACTAGTTTTGACGGTAATATCCATGATCTTAGTTTGATTCTATGCATCATTAAGAAAGAGTCTTGGTGGCGATATAAATCATTGTTATTAAATGTCATAGATTTTTGTGCAAAAGACTGTATTCTTTTGGAAATGAGAGCCGTATGATAAAAAGACAGATCAAAATCGAGTTGTTTAGAAGTGACAATTTATGCAAATGAAGCTTTTTTAAAACCAACTTGTAAGTTAATGAAATGTTTGTGTTATTCCAAAGGGTATGTACGTTTAACAAATGAATGTGTACGTTAAACCATGGAAGTAGTATACTACCATAGTTAAACTAATGTGTATGCACGTTTAACCGATTTGGATGCTAGAATAATGTTTACATTAACCCAATATGCATGTTAAACCAATGTGTAGTGTATGTAACCCAATGTGTATGTTAAACAAATGCTTACTTCAAACCAATGTTTACGTTAAATCAATGTGTATGTTAATCCGATGTGTATGAAAACCAGTGTTTAAGTTAAACCAATGTGTATGTTAAACCAATGTGTATATATGTTAAACCAATGAATGTGTATGTAGTTAGGTCAAATAACAAGATATCATATTAATTAAAAAAGGATGTTATTGAAAGATTAACCTATATATCAAAATCTCTAAAAACAAAAATTTATTTTATCATTAAGTAAAAAGATGTTATGTGTTCATGGAAATCTAACTTATATCTTATTGTAGAAGGTTAGGGGTCATGTTTTATTTTGATGTAATCCTTATGCACCGTTGCCAGTCTGATGGAAATATTATACATAATTACAAAATATCGAAGCCATTTTATACACCAGAGAGAAAAAAAGAGGAAGAAATAGCAAGGGGCAATAAAAATACGTATTCAAAACAAAAAATCATCAGTCCAACAAGACAACATCTACATTTGTAACAGTAGTTTGACAATAAACGGATCATAATGAAACAATATAACAAGGGGAAATTCCAACACCCGGAAGGTGGGATAACATAATCAAATAGTACAAGACAAAGATAGAAAGAAAAACATGCTATCATGTATGAGGTCTATGACTTAACCAACATGTTGCAATAACAAGTTATGCTGTTCTAGCATTGCTTGGCTGAATTCAAGACGTAAAAAAATATGCATATAGTGGAAGCTCCAATCAACCGTTGCCTCAGTGTCTAATGGATAAAATATAAACAAGTCTAAATTGAAAACAACGTTCAAACCTATGATTGCGTTGGATAAAAACCGCAATTTTTATACGTGTGCATGCAAAACAAATTACTTATTAGAGGGTTCTAAAAACAGCACAAACAACATTTTCCAAAAGACCAAAAAGGTGAAAAAGTATATTTTAACAAAACGCATTTGACTAACAGGTCGACCAACAAATTTTCTTAAACCCTGCTGACTGCCATTGGCGATTGTCAAATAAACCGATCACCGATATAATAAATGGATCTTAATTATAAATTTAATACTAAACAGGAAACAATAAACTTGCGGAAAAGATGGTATACCGCAAACATGGATAAAACATTTACAGTTGTCACAAGTGAATAGATATATGTAAATATAGATATATTATACGATAATGACTAATGCGTGAAAATGGGGCTTTGATTACTGATTACTCCAATCGAAACTGGACGTAATTTCATGAACTCTGAAAAGGTAAGTTTACCACAATAAAAAAAAAAGAATTTCACTCATCTTCCTTCTGTAGTTTTTATAATGAATAAGAATAACATCTTCCAGTATACTTACTTTAAAAGTTTAAGCGACTGATCTCTGTCATACAAAACCATTTCAAATAGGTTAATGATATTTCCAACCTATTTTTATTCGTTGCGAAATCAAAATAGGAAAAAAATCATTTTCCATTTTAAAGCGTTCAAAATCTAACAAGCTACAAGTAACAAGTACTTCACATAGATATGTCACAGTCACATTTCTAATGAAGTCAAGCAGAAATATGTCCTACTTTGTCTTTAAACATTCCACCCATCGTTAGATAAATCCAACTTAAACAGATACCGGACTTACTGCGTATAGATAAACGCTTAAAATAAAACGTAAAACAAATAAATATAATTAGACATACAGCTGTTACCTAAACGTGAAGCAAAGATATTTTGTCTTGCGTAGTAATACACGGATGTTTTCTGTATGCAAATTTTGGCTACTGAAGAGTCACATGTCGCGTATTATTGTCAGAGAGGGCTTCCTTTTAGTCCAATTCGTTATTGCTTTGTTTTCATATAAGGAGGAAGAATTATTATACTATGTAACAAATATCTATAATGACAGATTGCGTCACAACTTGCCAATTTTTTTTTATTCGTACATGTACCAGATCTAGCAAATATTGATATTTTATTCCACACCCTTTGGTATGCTTTATAAACACACGACGCCTGTAAAATTGTTTACAAAAGTTGTCAGTCAATCTTTGGACATAATTGGCTGTTATTCACAAATGAAAAATTAAAAGGTCATAAATATCAAAACCTAGATTGAATAAGTAAAAGCATATAAACATTAAATTTTAAAATTCCTTTTAAACTATTCGCTGAAAAACATTTGGATAATTTTGGTGTCAAATGAAAACTCAAGGTCTTGTGATTAATGTTTCTACATGGAAGTTGGGTAATATAAAAACCCTTGATGAAATTGTCTCTTGAATATTTATATAAATGTATAAACTATGATGGGGCATATTTGCCATGTAGCTCAGATCAGTAGTACCTGTACCCAACTTCCATGAACCAGTGCGCTCTTATATGCAATCAAAGATATGTTGAATTTTTTCAGCACAAGTCAGGATAAGGTATAGTTTTTCTATGAAATGACTGCTACTAGTACTTGAAAAAAAACTATAAATGCTTGAAATTGCATAATTCAACATAGAAAGCAATGGGACTATGAATTAGTGGTTTTATTCCTAAACAGGGGTCTTTTGGAAGCTTTTAAAATCATTAATCCTATAAAGTTTCTAAACTGTTGACTTTTATGTTCCAAAGGACACGATTTTAAATATCGACCAATCAGAACCAAAGAACGCTTCCATATAATCTAAATAAAAGCTATTTGAAGACAACCTTCCATGAATTATTCATGTGAATTTTGACCAATGTGTAGCGTATGTAAACCAATGTGTATGTTAAACCAATGCTTACGTTAAACCAATGTTTACAATAAATCCATGTGTATGTAAACCCAATGTGTATGAAAACCCGTGTTTAAGTTAAACCAATGTGTATGTTAAACCAATGTGTATATATGTTAAACAAATGAATGTGTATGTAGTTAAGTCAAATAACAAGATATCATATTAATTAAACAAGGATGTTTTTGAGAGATTAACCTAAATATCAAAATCTTTCTAAAAAAAGATTTTATCATTAAGTAAAAAGATGTTGTGTGTTCACGGAAATCTAACTTATATTTTATTGTCGGTTATAGTAAAAGGTTACAATTGCGCAATTATTTGTTTACATTTCACCGGGAAGTTTTTGAACCCAAGATGGTAGTAAGAATAAAAATCTGTGAGGCTTCTGATTGGATGGTATGCCTTTAATGTATTAATTTTATGAAAAATAAACCATTTATGTGCAAAAATAATCACAATTTGGAATGTTTGATTTGACATTCTCAGTAAAAATAATTTTTGGGGGGAATATGCTAACTGAAATTTTTGCTGTGTCATTTAGTGCGGATTTTGGAAGCGTCCATAACAACTGCTATTTAAGGCAATTTCCGCCGCATAAGCATGTTGTTTTTTTTCACTGAAATAAATTCTTATTATGTCTACTTTCAGATTCTGGCTTTAGTTTCTCTGCAATTTATATACTTTTTTTTATTAGGATTCAAAGAGACAGGGTACCCTATGGAAAATGCATTGTAAATAATTGCGCAATTGTAACCTATGGAATTTCTCTACTTTCACTTTCGATATTGGATTTTCAGAAAATCGGACTCTGAATCAAACATTCAATTGATTTTGATTGATTTTTAACCAATATGGATGACTTCTGGAGAGACTTGCAATACAAATTCAACAAAAAAACCCAGGGAAGTGGCAATGGGAAGGGGTGTATTGAGTGTAAGGGCACAAAAAAGGGAAAATCTGGTTATGGCATACAGGTTGTGAAATGGCCACAGGGGAGGAAAAAGGGAGGCTGCACATAGAGTGGCATATATGATAAGGCATAAATTGACCAGATATGATATGACAAGAGTGGATGAGAACAATAATGCAATAGAGTGTAGCCATATTTATCACAATGCATCATGTGTAAATGTAAACCACCTTGTGTTAGAACCTCATGCTATTAACTTGGACCGACTGCACTGCAAAAACCAGGCACTACGTTCAAAAAGTCACAAACCATATTGTTTAATTAAAAAGTATTGATTTTATTTATTTTCGAATAGAAATCTTCTTCGGCTTCTTGCTCTTAACATACGGATGGTCGTCGTGTTTTGATTTTGATGATTTCATGTCGCGGTCAGCTTTCATTAGCATATTCTTCTCATATTGTATTATTTCGCTTAGTTTTTCATATAATTTGTATAACTTGCACCTTTTTTTCACTTCGAAATACTTTATAATTGACACTTTGTTTGTGTTTTTTCTGTAAAATGTCAGTTTTTTTAATATTTTTTAGAGCCTTGTATGCACTACTGCCTACGTGAATATCTTAGTGTAGAGCACTACAGAGTTCTAATATAGACTCCCCTGGACCGTAATTGACGCTGTGAGCTGCTGCATGTGCTCGACCAGACATGTTTTTCTTGAAGGTAACATTTGATAGTAATGATCGTCTTAAGCACCTATTAAATCCCTCGACAAAATTAGTGTTCATGTTTAACCGTGTCTTGTCAAGAACTTTTGAACCAAGTCTCTTATTAATTTGTTTCCGAAGCAAGTCCAAGTTCTCATTGCAGCTACTTATTTTAAAAGTATTTTGTAAGAAAGGACGTCCTTTCAACCATGATCCCTGAAATCCTTTACAGGCAAAGGAATTCTTTCTGCACCTGGCATGATTTCCCATGTAGCATTTAGCTATGGCATCCACTGTGTGAGAAATTTTATTCTTAACTTTATAAAAGTCTTCAGCATAAAATTTGTAGGCTAGTGCTAGTTCTTTATTACATCTCTCAGTCGGATCAACAGAAAAATTAAGTTTTCTGGTTAAACATTATTTATTCCCTCATTGTGTATGTCAGGGCAGCTTTATAGGCAGAACTGTCTGCATCGGTTACTAAATGTTCAATTTCTATTTCATCTTCCTTTAAATCAAGGAGGCATTCCCTGGCCCAGGTATACTTATCTCCTATACTTTTAACCATGGGTATGTTTGCACTGCATTCATCTGTGCAATCTTCATGAAGTCGGCCTGCGTCATTGTCTACGTCAAGACTAGAATGTATGGAACAGAGCTTGTTTTTGATATTTAATGCTAATATATTGTGTTTTGATGTTTCATTTTCAGCTGCCGTATAAACTATTTGTGTTGCCGGTTGAAAAGGAGTGCGGCCTATACCGGAATACAGTGGATTATTGTACACTCCATCCATTTGAACACTTATAGCATGTGGATTTTCCTTGCCTCTTAACTTATTTATTTTTATAATATCATTTCTTCTTCTATTCATATCCTGTTTATTAATTTGTTCAATTTGTTTCATGACTGTATTTGCTCTTCTTTGTAGGCTAGATGTTACTGGAACCAAGATGTTACCACTTAAGAAGATTTTTTGTATACCGGTGTAAGCAATGGGTGTTTGACTCAGGCCGACATGAATTGCAGTGTCAAGTTTTGATGCTTTTCTGCCAGGTTTCCCAGTTTCCAATTCTTCATACAGGGTGTATGGCTTTGATTTGTAATCACACTTTGTGCATATTAGCAGTTGTCGCGTTCCAAAGCCTGTTTTCTCTTCATTTTCTAAATCACATAGCAGAATACCTTCACACTGTGGATTTCTCAATTGATGTTCTTTAAATGCTGCATTCCACATTTCCTCCATCTTGTATATGCATATTGCTCGGTTGGAATTGTAATCTGGTCTAAAAAATACAAAAAATACTCAAAATAAGACTTAGCAAAGAACTTATTCCTATTTACTGATTTTGCAAATAGAGGTACCTGCCCCTTAGTTGACAGAATTTTTTCTCTGTGAATTAAGATGGTACATAGACTTTTAAATCTTGCAATATGTATGTATGTAGATTCTTCTTTTTATTAATATATTTGTTGTTAAATTCATAAAAGTAACAGTTTATATATTTATACTGTTCTTTTTTAATTAAAAAATGATGTATTGTGGTTCAAAATGTGCAATTTTTTGTATCTCGCACTCTATAATTTCCATATTTATGTCTTTCTTTGTAAAGATATCTCACTTAAACTGTTTATAAGTCAATATTATTTAATTGTTAACTTACCTTTTGTCCTTTTTAGCATTTTTCCTGATTGGTTTGGTAAGAAGCACCTCCTCAGTCAATGGACGGAGTAATCTTGCAGCACGGCAAACCCTTTTGGATTTCTCCTTGGATTAGCATACGGATCATTCACTACTAAATTGTGTTTTTCTTTGGTAATTCTAATGTACTTAGATGTGATGTGTAAGAGTCACTTTTATTTTGTTTCACAGCCTTTCTTTTCCTGTTATAAGGAACATTTCCACCTTTGAATTTGTGTGTATTTCCCTTTTGGAAAATACAACAGAATTTTCACTTAAATTCTACACTGTCTTTATTTTTTGTATGTTGATTTTGAATAATGTTCTTCTAATTTCTTTTTGCAATATAAGTTGAAATCAAATGCTCACTAATTTATAAAAGAAATTGAAAGGAAACACATGACCCCCTAAAATTCTACAGAGTTTCTAAATAGACAACAAGATAATGTTTTGATATTTTTATAGTCTCTATGAGGACAGCCAGATTTAATTCATTTCATCTTTATTTCTCTTATCATTGGTAACAAGCATTCTGAGAGTATTGCATGGCAATACATAGTCTCCTACAGGGTAAAAATTCATTATACTGGAACAAAAATGCTAACTTGTTCTATAACTTGTCATGGTGTAAACAAAAAGTATATATCATGTCAATATCTTCAAGCATGACTAAAAATAGTAGGAAAACTGATTAAATGGGTGAATTTTTCAAGTCCAAGGACCATAACTCTGCACAAAATCATTAGACCGAAACAAAAATTTGAACTTGATCTGTAACTTGTCATGATAAAACTATATACCAATTATCAATCAATATCTTATAAGCATGATGAAAAAACCATAAGATATGATTAATAGTTCTCTAAAATTAGATATGATGTAATACAGTGTATATCTATTTTCAAATTATAATCAAATATAATTAATAGTTCCAAATATTTTTTCTTTCATTTGTCACAAACTAATATAGATTTGTAACTTATCTATAAAATGTCAACAACTTTTATCTACACAATGTAATTTATTGAAATATATACATTAATAAAAATAGATTATTATCTAATTAAAGGATTTCTCTTCATATTTTTTATATATATATATATAGCATTCAGAAAATTAGTTTATACTAAATAACAAACAAATCTGCCAAAAAGTTCTTCAAATGATTTAACAAAGAATGTCTTTTAAAAAATGAGTTATCTCCCTTTGTACAGAGATATGGTTTAACATAGTACTCTAACATTAGAAATGGTCCAGAGTTATGGTCCATAACTCTGGACTAAATCATCAGACCGGAACAAAATTCGAACTTGATCTATAACTTGTCACGATAAAACTATATACCAAATATCAAATCAATATCTTCAAGAACGAAGAAAAAAAGTGTGGAAAGCTGATTTGCCGGACTGACGGATGGACAGACGGACAGACGGACGGAGTGCAAACCTAAAGTCCCCTTCGACTTCGTCGGTAGGGGACTAATAAAATGATAATGGTAAATGATTCAAAGTGCATCTTCAGTACACTTTTTTTTTTGACAAAAGTTTTGAAAATATAGGAAAAAAGACTGTTTTTCACTATTTTCAATAAATCTTAGGTATATTCCACCCTGAATAAAATTTGAAATCAACTTATACATACACAAAGAAACATTACTTATATGTACATGAAAAAACAACATTTGTATTTTTTGTAGAATTTTAATGCTTGAAATTTTACCTTTAACTTCTGTTTCAGTTTGTATTGCTGAATAAATCTTCCACTGGCCGCAAACATAGGATGAAGTATAGAAATATCAATTTCTCAAAGAAGACTTCACAGATCACTTCCTAATTTGTCGTGTGTAATAGACATAGATAGTTGTATATGCAGACAAAATTAAAGTCTCATTTGAAAACTTTCTATTCTTTCTATAGGTTACAATTGCGCAATTATTTTTTACCGGGAAGTTTTTGAACCCAAGATGGCAGTAAGAATAAAAATCTGTGAGGCTTCTGATTGGATGGTATGCCTTTAATTTATTAATTTTATGAAAGATAAACCATTTATGTGCAAAAATAATTACAATTTGGAATGTTTGATTTGACATTCTCTGTGAAAATAATTTTTTGGGGGAATAGGCTGACTGAAAATTTTGCTGGGTCATTTAGTGCGGATTTTGGAAGCGTCCATAACAACTGCTATTTAAGGCAATTTCCGCCGCATAAGCATGTTGTTTTTTTTTCACTGAAATAAATTCTTATTATGTCTACTTTCAGATTCTGGCTGTAGTTTCTCTGCAACTTATATATTTTTTTTTAATAAGGATTCAAAGAGACAGGGTACCCTATGGAAAATGCATTGTAAATAATTGCGCTATTGTAACCAAAACAGTTAGTGGTCTTGCTTTATTGTTGATGTTATCCTTATGCACCGTTGGCAGTCTGGTGAAATTATTATACAAAATTACAAAATATCGAAGCCATTTTATACACCAGAGAGAAAAAAGAGGAAGAAATAGCAAGGGGCAATAAAAATACGTATTTCAAAACAAAAAATCATCAGTCCAACAAGACAACATGCATCTACATTTGTAAGAGTAGTTTGATAATAAACGGATCATAATGAAACAAGATAGCAGGGGGAAATGCCAACACCCGGAACGGGATAACATTATCAAATAGTACAAGACAAAGATAGAAAATAAAACATGATATCATGTATGAGGTCTATGACTTAACCAACCTGTTGCAATAACAAGTTATGCGGTTCTAGCATTGCTTGGCTGAATTCAAGACGTAAAAAAATAATGCATATAGTGGAAGCTCCAATCAAAAGTTGCCTCAGTGTCTAATGGATAAAATATATACAGTTGTCACAAATGAATAGATATTTGTAAATATAGATATATTATACGATAATGACTAAGGCGTAAAAATGGGGATTTGATTACTGATTACTCCAATCGAAACCGGACGTGATTTCATGTACTCTGAAAAGGTAAGTTTACAATAACAAAAAAAATTCTCTCATCTTCCTTCTGTTGTTTTTAAAATGAATAAGAATAAAAATCTTCCAGTATACTTACTTTAAAAATTCAAGCAACTGATCTCTGTCATACAAAACCATTTAAAATAGGTTAATGTGATATTCCCCACCTTTTTTTGTTCGTTGTGAAACCAAAATAGGAAAACAATTATTTTCAATATTAAAGCGTTCAAAATCTAACAAGCTAAAAGTAACAAGTACTTCACATAGATATGTCACAGTCACAGTTGTAATGAAGTCAAGCAGAAATGTGTCTTACTTTGTCTTTAAACATTCCATCCATCGTTAGATAAATCCCACTTAAACAGATACCGGACTTACTGTGTATAATTGTTAAAGGCGTCTTGACTTCAATATCACTTATATATTAATATACATCAGACAGGATGGAAGATGATAAGATGTGTTCGTAAGCTATTTTGTTAAATCGCTTCTTATCACAACATAAATGAATAAATAATATTTTTCAATCCAGTGTTCAAGTATTAAAAAAGCTGAATATTATTTTGCTAAATGAAACGTTCACACATGAAACCCATCGAAAGAGTAACAAACAAAAAAAAAATTGAAAAATAGAAAAACAGTATACAACTTTATAGAGAAACAACTGAACATGGAATTTATGTACAAGAAAGCGAAAATTATAATATTAACTAGAGGGATAAACTAAACGACCGTCTCAAAAGAAAGTGACATAAGATTCGTCAACAGTGTAACTTCCTTAGTATACTAATATCAACTGTCATACCAATTCACGCCGAGAAACATTTACCATGAAAGAATACTATAAATACTACAATGTTTATTCACTAGAAAAAAGTTTGTCCAGGTATAGTACACAAAATATGACAGACAGAATCTATTTTGGTAAACCTAAACATAATAAAAAAATCAGACTAAGATAGCTTTTGGTAAGATCAACGTTTAGTCATACTTACGATAAGAAATCTCCACCCCACTCCCTCCCCAAAAAATTAAAAAAAAAATAAAATTGATATAATTTACAAAAACAAATCTCAGTGAGTTATGTCATGGAAGTATATTATTATATTGCCATAAAAATCGCAGAGATCGGTGGAAGATGATCAGTTTATCTCCGTGCTGTATTTTTGAGTTGCGAGCCACTTTTCAAACTTTTTCTAAAAGTATTGAAATACAGGCGGAAACACATAAAATATAATGAAGATCTTTGCAATTTTATATATATATATATATATATATATATATATATATACAAGTAATGCGTTTTGTTAAAATAAACTTTTTCACTCTTTTGGTCTTTTGGAAAATGTTGTTTGTGCTGTATTCAGACCCCTCTAACAAGAAATTTGTTTTGCATGCACACGTATAAAAATTGCGATTTTTATCCAACGCAATCATAGGTTTGAACGTTGTTTTCAATTTAGACTTGTTTATATTTTTTCGTTTGGGCTTGTATTATATTTGCCTTCGGGTTTATATGATCCGTTCATCCTATTTTGACTCCTCAAAATTCAAGAGTCTATCCTAAATTGAGGTAAATTGTATGGCTTTCCAAATACCGTTTCGATTCCTAACATCACTGAAGAGACATTAATTGTCGAAATCCGGATATGGTGTACAAAAACCTTTGCACCTTTTGTTTGCGGTATAACATCTTTTCCGCAAGTTTATTGTTTTCTGTTTAGTATTAAATTTATATTTAAGATCCATTTATTACATCGGTGATCCGTTTATATGGCAATCGCCAATGGCAGTCAGCAGGGTTTAAGAACATTTGTTGTTCGACCTGTTAGTCAAATGCGTTTTGTTAAAATAAACTTTTTCACTCTTTTGGTCTTTTGGAAAATGTTGTTTGTGCTGTATTCAGACCCCTCTAACAAGAAATTTGTTTTGCATGCACACGTATAAAAATTGCGGTTTTTATCCAACGCAATCATAGGTTTGAACGTTGTTTTCAATTTAGACTTGTTTATATTTTTTCGTTTGGGCTTGTATTATATTTGCCTTCGGGTTTATATGATCCGTTCATCCTATTTTGACTCCTCAAAATTCAAGAGTCTATCCTAAATTGAGGTAAATTGTATGGCTTTCCAAATACCGTTTCGATTCCTAACATCACTGAAGAGACATTAATTGTCGAAATCCGGATATGGTGTACAAAAACCTTTGCACCTTTTGTTTGCGGTATAACATCTTTTCCGCAAGTTTATTGTTTTCTGTTTAGTATTAAATTTATATTTAAGATCCATTTATTACATCGGTGATCCGTTTATTTGGCAATCGCCAATGGCAGTCAGCAGGGTTTAAGAACATTTGTTGTTCGACCTGTTAGTCAAATGCGTTTTGTTAAAATAAACTTTTTCACTCTTTTGGTCTTTTGGAAAATGTTGTTTGTGCTGTATTTAGACCCCTCTAACAAGAAATTTGTTTTGCATGCACACGTATAAAAATTGCGGTTTTTATCCAACGCAATCATAGGTTTGAACGTTGTTTTCAATTTAGACTTATTTATATATACAAGTAATATATATATATATATATATATGGTAGAATTTAACGTAGTTGGTATGCAGTAAAGAGATACATTTGTAATATAGATTTTGTCTTGCTTTACAAATATATACCACATTCCTCTTTCTTATTGTTACAAGACAAGATTTCTAATTGAAGCTACATGATGTGTCCCTTGTTGATCCTTATAAAGATTATTTATAATTAATATTTATACCGTGACATTAGTGAGGAATGCTTCACACATGTTCACATAAGACATTACTTTAAAATATAATTAAGTTGATTGATTGATTTTACATCATTGCAGCTGTATCAGTTTATAAAAATCAATAACAGTTAAAATGATAATTGTTTTACATTCAACATTAATTTATATTAACATTCAAGTAAAAGGTAGATAACTCTAACACAAAATAAATCCGATCGGTTTTATTATTACGTACCTAAAAATTCCAGTTTTTCACTTACAAACCTACCTATGTATTTAGTTTTAATTGCTGCATACCAACAACCAATCAATCAATCAGTAATTTTCTGGATGTTGAACAGCTTTTCTACATTACGATGTGTTATAAAATAGAAGAATAAATGGGCTAAGAAAACAAAAAAATTACTGAACGTCATGTGGTAAATATTTTAAGCATTTTACGGACCAGAACAAATTAACAATGAAACTAACAGGTAGAACAGACAACATAAACTGTCAAACAGATCCTTTTGAAAGGATATGCAGCCCAGTTCCCTTTTATTAGCTACACTAAAATATGATGTTAAGAATCGAATTCAACACAATTAACTGCATGCCATTGTATATGAATTATTCAGTATAGTCATATACATATACTAATTACATAAAAACTTGTCATATTGAAAACTTGTAATGATGAAATTACTGAAAATAACAACTGACTTTGAAGATCAGGAAACTACAATAAATTTCATAATGAAGCAGCTTTCAATATTGATTTTTTTGACAATACGTAATTCCATTATTGATAGCACCATCTAAGTTTACAAAAAAAGGTAAAAAGAAAGCAATTTGAAAAATTGCATTCAACTGAATAAAAACAATATATGTTTATCAGTCTTGTCATTTTTGTATTTGTCCTCCTGTCAGATATAGTCGACCTGACTAATATTTTGTAAATACAAAGTTTATTAAGGAGAAAGCACTTTGGAAATGAAAGATTAAGCAAAAAAAAAAATGTTTATGGAGCATACAACTATTGTGACAATAAAACATGCCCATTAAAATAATTGCTATACTGAAATCTCTGTTGAATATGTAAGTGACTCGTCCAAACTAGGGGAAAACTTTTATATCACAAAAGTCGTCATAATGTGTTTTTTTAATTTTGAAACCTGATTACGGTA